AACAAATAGCTTGCAGCAGGCTCGCGTTGCTTTTGGATTGACTAACTTTGCATAATTAATGTCTTGTCAATTCCCAACAGTGGAAGAATGTGATTTCGACCGGCAATTTTTATTTGACGAGTATGTGGCCATTTCTCATCGTTGCGATTTATGATGCACGACAGCTAGCCTGTTGAATTTCCATAGCGTTTTTTTGAGACACCCTGTATATTAGTAGCTGGGAGTTGGTTCGGATCAAGTTTTACCTGAAGCGAACAGCTATTTCGCGTCTAAAATGAACCATTATCACACGAAAATTAAAAAGCATGTTTTTAACTATGCCTGTATTTTATTTTCAAGATACAAAATAAAATAACACAGTTAAAAATATGCCTTTTTTAATCCGTTAGCCTATTTTTACGTTTTTGTGAATAATTTGACAACCGAAAACTCAATATTGAATGAAGATCCTTTTAAAACCAACAGATATATCTGGTAAAAATTAAGAAAATATATGGATACATGAAGTAATATTGTTTCATCCAAAGCATTGCTGTTCTTCATGTTCGCATTCCTCACTGCTTGTCCAGTCTTTGTTCTATTCCGGGTTCAAATATATTCTCGTCTGCGGCTAGGCATGTAAATCACACAACTGACGAGGCGAGAAAACAAGGACAAACTAGTTGACTACAAAAATAAGGTCGCAAAATTTGTATCAACTTCGGATTAAGGTTAGATTAGGATTAGATTGGGGTTAGAGGTTAAGGTTAGGATCAGGATTAGAGTTTCCCCTAGATAAATGATTATCATCTATTTGTGCACTTTTGACAATTGATGCTATTCATCTATTTAGCCCGGAGACTGTGCTGATATATTCAATATTTTTCTTTCATGTTCTATTCAATACTGGAAATGTTTGCCAATATTATTGGCAAACATGGATTAACGAATTCGCTTGCGTAACTATATAGAGGGTGGTAAAGGGCATTTCTGTGAGCCGTGAAGTGCAGTATTTGTTTTCATAAAGGTTTGTATACATTGCTTTTACATGTGTGTTTCGAACAGGTGGGAAATTTGCTTCGCTGGTCAGTGAATTGCGGGCGCTAGCGAAAATTTTGTTTTTCCCGAGCCAACGGCGCGGAACTAATTCTGCCCGGCTATTTACACCCGGGAAAACGAACGCATTAGCGAAGCCTCAAGTTCATCAATGATCGCGGGCGTGGGTCCACAGGGTACAATTTAAGAAATTCCGCGTCCTGTTAGCTTATCATATAACATGTTTATTAAATCGCGTGCTTTGTAAATAGGATTAAGTTTCATGCCTCATCCACTTGTACATATAACCTTGTAAGTTTTAGTCTATAGTCATTGGGTCAATTTATCTGAAGAGTGCCACATACTGTGGTACGAAACTATTTAGTAATAAAGATGCCTAGTGGATTTTGTTGATTTGTTGTACCTTAATTCATATATATATATATATATATATATATATATATATATATATATAACACGTTAATTTCTGGAATGCTGTTTCGAAAATTCCGGACAATCTCTCGAGGTTGTCCTCAAATGGGAAATTCTGGAAGTTTCGAAATTTTTACATTCCATTAAAACATTTCCCAACCAACGTTGCTGCTTTCCAAAAGTTTTTTGAGCAAAAACCGCCACCAAAACCAAAATGGCGTGTTCTCGACCATTTCAGTACCTCGAGTCTGGATTTATTTCGCCGAATGCTGAAAGAAGAAATTTGAGCGGCAGTGTCATACTCTTCGAAATTAAAGATGATATCCAGTCGAATCTGCGCATGCGTGAGAAACATTGTTTTCAAAACAAACCATACCATTATAATTACATGAAGTATGACATTCTGTACGAGTATATAAAAAAACATGGCGTCGCGAGGAGCGACAAACAAAGAATTGTTATTTTCTATTGCAAAAACAAACACAATTTAAATTTTATCAGGAGTAAAAGACAACTGAAAGGGTTATAAATTTGATGGAGCAAAATGCCGTTGGTACAGTTAGTTTTTGGCTGTTTCTTTCGTGGTAAATGTGACAGTTTTTTACGAATTAGGCAATAACGAAGATATTACATCATATTCAAAATCGTTTCAATATCAAGGCTCTGAGTCTGAATTGACAAATTGAGTACCAAATTAATGATGGATACTTTGAAAACGTTCTTTTAATTAAGATCAAGATTAGTGGTGGAGTATAATTAATACAATCCAGCCAGAAAACAACCATCCTCGTACCCAGGGTCTTTTTGGGAAAGACCCTGGTATCGGCTGGTCACGTGACTCTACAACAATTGATTGCCCAAGGGGGAGTGGCAAAGTATCAAATTACATGCTTCCACAGAAAAGGTTAAATTTCAAATACCAGGAGTGGGATTTTACGATATATGGTTCGAAGCGCCCGCTAACTTCTATTTTATACCTCCGTTTGCTTTTAAATTACAAAAACACAGTAGCATTTTATCAACAGTCAAGTCAAGAAACAAATAAAATGTATACTTTAAACTTTAAGTTGGGTATTCCCTTGAAACATATTTTCATATCAAACTGGTCAGTCCTCAACGTTTGTACATTTTCACTTTTATCTGTTCCGAAAATATGACATTAGATTTCTTGTTTGAAAACGTTGATAAACTTTGTGCAGATTTTACTAGTAGTATGCGTCTCATTTTATAGTGAAGGTTGATAAAATTTTGAAATGTAATTAACTTTTTGTCACAAATCACAATGTAAACATGTGGACACTGCCGAACAGAGACCAAATGCTCATTTTAAAACTGTCGATGGTTTATCTTTGAAAATACTTT